ACCACTAGGACTCGCAGCACCCCCAGTCTCAGCACCCCCAGAACCCTCACCCCCAGGACCAGCACCCTCAGTCTAGGCACCCTTAGGACCAGCACCTCATGCGTCCTCAACCCCAGTGTCACCACCCCCAGCAGCACCAGTGTCCACAGCTACAGGCTGTAGGGGTTGTGAAGACGGTCGAGGCGGAAAACCAGGAGGGGTCTCCAAGCGTGAAGAGCAACGAGTGGCCGCCGTGTCATCAGCGGCAAGGTCACCCCCCTCAACCGGGCCAGAGGAGTCAGAAGAGATCTCCAAAGGCTCAACCAAGGGGGGTGGGTCTACCTGAGACACACCTGAGGGAGTTGGGCCCAATGGGGGGAGGGGGTCTACCGAGGGGGGGGAACTGGTACCAGGAAGAGAGGCGCCATGGGGATCGGGTGGGACGCGTGCGGGTGGAGCCTGTAGAAACAGACCGACTCGACAAAGGTGATGTCCTGGGAGGAGAACATGCGATGGTCGCGAGGGTGGTAAAACTGCCACGGCGGGGCGTCGGTGGGGAAGCCCAGGAAGGCGCAGCGGAGAGTGCGAGGAGAGAGCTTGCTCGCGGTGGTATTGCGAACAAGGGAGAGCGCACCCCAGACCCGAAACGCCGATGCATCACCAACCTTTCCAGTCCAACGGAGTGTGGGCAAGGTCTCTAGCAAAGAGACATGGGGCTAGAGGTTGAGCTGATGCGTGGCGTATCGGACCGCAAACAGCCACAGAAAATGGGGATCAGCCGCATGGATCATGGAGGTACAAGCAACCTCCATGATCAAGCCAATGTGACGCTCAGCAATCCCATTTTTCTGCAGAGAGGCCGGAAGCGTGAACGACTCGATGATGCCCTCGTCTCAACAGAACTCCGCAAGGAGGCCGGAAGAGAACTCACCGCCCCTGTCAGAGTGCAGACGTAGGACTAGAAGGTCCTGTCAAAACCGCTCGTGCAGATGGCGACGAGTAGGGCGGATCCAGGGGATCAAAACACCGCTGACGGCCGCCTTGCTGCGCAAAGGGAAGACCTTGTTGTAGCACATGTAGTCGTCAACAACCAGCAGGAAGTAGCGCTCCTGGTACATCCCACTGACGGGGGCCGGGCCCCACACGTCTATGTGAAGAGTCTGCAGAGGAGCAGTGGTCAGAGCAAACGAGGAGGAGTGAGGAGCGGCGCGCTGCCGCCCTCGACGCAGGGAAGGCACGGCGGGGCAGGCGAGCGCGGGAGGGGGGGCAGGGACCTGGGAAGGCCAGAGACAAGGAGACGGGAGTGCATGCTGCGGAGACGCGGCAGAGAGGGGTGACTGTGTCGGTGGTGCCAGAGAAGAGTTTGGTGGGAGAGTACCCGACACGAGCAAGACGCAACGAACTAACCATACGCAGACACCTGACTCGGCGCTGCCACTTGACCTGACGCAGCCACCTGTGCAGACGCAGTGGTCAGGGTGTACAGACTGGACCCAGGCTGCCGAGTGAACTTAGCAAGGTGACGTCCAGTCCGGGAGCACGTACAGATCGCCACACGCTGCCCTCCCCGAATGAAGGTATCAACCCAAACATCCTGAAGGACTGCGTTGCTCACCAAGTTTGTCAAGAACGAGGGGAGGTGGAGGCCTGAAAGAGAGCCGGAGGGGACTGCCGGACACGGGAGGACAGTGGAGGCTCGCGCTATGACTGGCCCCCAAGTGGGGTCAGCCAGTGAGACTGGGACAGGTGCTGCGAGCAGTGTGACTGAGGCGCAATCACGAAAGAAGCAACGTGACGCTCCTGAGTCAAGTGTGAAAGTGTGCAAGGTCTCAGCTGAGGCAGGACCAGTGGCGGTAGACGCACTAGCACCTAAAGCTGCAGCAGACTCACTAGCATCTTGAGCAGCATCCGCTACACAAACAGGGACGCCTTGCTGAGAAACACAATCGCGAAGCCGCTACGGGGAGAAGGTCTTCTGCTGACGCTACTACCGCCGCTGTCTAGTACCCATAAAACCATAACCTCCACCACCTGGACGGCCGCGCTGAACTACCCACTCACGGATTTGCTGTGGCGAGGGAGTGTCCGTCTGCGCGGGCTGCCACTGCTGTCCAGCACCTCCTTCACCTCCAGCACAATAACCTCCACCACCAGGACGGACTCGCTGAATAACCCACTCGCGAAGCTGCTGCGGTGATAGAGTGTCTGGGTGAGTGGCTGCTGTTGTCGATTTTAGACGCTGCTACGACCGTGATAGTGGCCATGACAGGCAGTGAGAGTCAGTAGCAGCGGTGCAAGGGCGGTAGTACCGGCTGCTGTAGCTGCAGCTGTAGTAGTAGCGGTGGTCGCTGTGGGTGTAACAACAGTAGCGACTGTTGGAGTGCCTGTGGAGGCCAGTAGGGTGCGTGGGCAGCTGGGCACGGGCGAGCGTAGTAACAGCAGTAGTGACAGTAGTAGCAGCTGTAGCGCCAGCAGCTGCAGCAAGGGCGGCTCGCCAGGGCAGCAGTAGCGTAGGCGGCAACAATAGCTCAACAACAGCAGCACAGGTAGCAGCAGCAGCCTAGCAGCAGCAGCACCTGGGCAGCAGCAGCAGCAGCAGGGCGGCTCGGTGGGGCTGGGCAATGCTGGAGGGCGGCGCGACTCGGCAGGGCTGGGCAGCGCGGGGGCCTAAGGGCAGGGCGGCGCGCGGGCCTAAGGGTGGGGCAGCGCGGCTCGCGGGCTGCAGGGCAGCGTGGCTCGCTGGCTGCAGGGCAGGGCAGCGCGGCTCTAAGGGGCAGGGCGGCGCACGGGCCTAAGGGCAGGGCAGGGCAGCGCGGCTCAGGCTGCAGCAGCAGCCTAGCAGCAGCAGCAGCTGAGCAGTAGCAGCAGCGCAGCTGGCAGCAACAGCTTAGCAGCAGCAGCAGCACAGGTGGCAGCAGCAGCGCAGCCGGTAGCAGTAGCTCAGGCGGGAGCAGCAACAGCGCAGGCGGTAGCAACAGCTCAGGCGGCAGCAACACTTTTGGTAGCAGTTGTGCAGCAGCAGTAGTGTGGCGGGTAGGGGCTCGGCAGGGCACAGCGCAGCAGCGTGTGCAGCAGCAGCAGCTCAGGCATAGTAGCAGCTCAGGCACGGCAGAAGAGCAGAAGCACCACGGTTGGCAGCAGCTGCATAGCAGCAGCAGCGTACGGCAGCGCGGTTGGCTGGGCACAGCGCAGCAGCGCTTGCGGCAGCAGCAGCTCAGGTGCAGCAGCGCGCTAGCAGTTCGCGGGCAGGGCGAGCAGTGCGCGGGCAGCAAATGCAGCGCGCGAGCAGTAGGGGCAGTGCGCGAGCAGCGGGCGCAGCATACAGGCAGGGCGGCACGCGGGCTGCAGGGTAGGGCATCGCACGGGCTGGGCAGCGGGGCACGTGCGCTGGTCAGCGGGGCGCGCGGGCTGGGCAGTGGGGCGCGCATGGCTAGGCAGGAAAAATCGACGCGCCTAGGGTGCGTTTTGGGCAGGATAAAAAACGGGACGCGCCTAGGGGCGCGATTTGGGCAGGAGATTGAAAACTTAACGGTGGGCCCTATTAAATATCTAGTCCTAAGGACCTAATGGCTCTTAATACCATGTTGAACTAAGAGGAGAGGAATGAGTCGACTAGGTCAAAGGGTGGGGTAAAAGAGTGTTGAGAAATGTTATGTACCCTCTAAGGATAACCCCTACATAGCCTAGACAGATAGAAATCATATATTGTTTTGACACTAACCATAGGCAGGATCAAGGTGGAATGATCGAAGACCAGGTGAACGAGCTTAGCGAGGCGCCGAGGACAGAGCTCGACAAGAGGATGCTCAACGCGGGCGTAGTGTACGTTTCATGTATAACCCATTTTCGGTTTGAGCATTTTCGGTTTGCCATGTTTCCCTGTTGCTGACTGTGCGCTAGCTTTCTGTTTTCAAGGGAGCTGCTGTTCGTCGAGCAGCTCGTCAAGCTGTCGATTATGACTTCGACGCGTGTGCATGAAGAGATGGCGCGTCCCACACAAATCGCTTTTGCGAACAACCACGTCGACGGCTTCCTCGGCAAGCAAGTGGTTCTCGTTTGCTGCGGACCACGTGAGTTCGACACTCTCTTGTCGCCTTGGGTGCTCCGTATTAGCCCTAAACCCGTGCTCTCGTGCATTCGCTCTGCATGCCGCCTGAGTGTGGGACCATTCTCCCACAAGAGCCTGTTTGTGGTATCGCGCCCCGACAATCTGCTGGCCCCGTGGCACCGTGGCTGTCGAACTCAAATGATGCACTACGATTCGTAAGACAGGTTTCCCGTGGTGAACCACCAATCTTTGATGGCGCTTGAAGTTCTCGTGTGAATGACCGACTTGCCACCCTGCTGTCGACTTGCCGCCCTGCTGTCGACTTGCCGTTCTCGACAATCTTACTCTCCTGTCCGTTGCTGTGCAGTTGGATGAAGCAGCAGCTTCGCGCCGAATATGTGATGACCCAGCGGGTTGTGACCGAGCACGAGCAGGGGGTGCTGGAGGACATCTATTGGCTTCTGGCCTTGATCACGAGTTTCTATCTTCTGGTAAGCCAACCCTTACACTTACTCGTGCATGTTTTCGTCGAGCATGTTGTTCTGTCGCTTACGTGTGTTTTATACCCGTCGCAGACGACGACGACGACCTTGACGAGCCCCAATGAACCAGGCGCGGGAGCTCGTGTCATGCACGGAGTGCGAAGGATTCTGTCGAACTGGGACAATTTCATTCTGCAGCCTCGATAGGGCGAGCTCGGGAGTCTCGGGAGAACAAGCCCTGGCCCCCAGATGCTTCCGTCGTTCATGGTCAAGCTGTTTTGGAAAAAGTTTGGCGAGGTGGCGGAGGGAGTAGGAGTAGGAGGTGGTGCCAAACACGAGGGAGGAGGCGATGGGACGACACATCGAGGCGGAGGAGGAGACCGAGGAGGATACATCGAGGCAAGCTCAGCACGGGGCGAGCGGCCCGGGCGGCCATGCGAAGGAGCACGATGGCTCGAGCTGGGATTCGAGCTCCGGCTCGAGCTCGAGCGATGAGTCGGTCGAGCACGACGGTGAGGGCGCAGGAGTACATCCAGGTGGGACGGAGCATACAGAGGCGCACGGAGTGGCTCGGGGAGCGGGTGGACGAGTGGGTGATGATTGTCGAGCAGCAGGCGACGGGGGACAAGGGCGCTGTCGAGGAGCAGGAGGGCGGAGCGGCTGCGAAGGAGGGTGGGGCAGGAGTGCAGCAGCAGGAGGGCGGGGTGGCTGTGCAGGAGGGTGGGATAGGAGGGCAGCAGTAGGAGGGCGTGACGGCTGCGCAGGGGGGCGGGTCAGGAGGGCAGGAGCAGGAGGCTACGCAGGAGTGCCGTCGAGGAGATGAGCAACAAGTCGCCGTAACTAGGAGACACCGCACGGCCAGTGGCAGCGGACAGGCGGACCTTTCGACGTCGGCCATTGCATCCGGAGGCCATCTCGTCGAGCTACTGGAGAGGCTCGCGGAGGTCGAGGCGTCGCAGAAGAAGCTCGTTGCCGACATATTTGCAAAGCACAGTGAGCAAGCCGGTATTCAGCAAGCTTGCTGCCGATTTTCGGACGAGCTGGAATTTGTTTTTGGAGTCGTTGAAGAGCACTCTGAAGTAGTGCGCAGATGTTGTAAAGGGTGTCGTGGAGGAGAGGAAGTTGTTGGAAGAGGCGCGCACGAAGGTCGACGAGATGAGCAGGAAAATCATCGAGGGAGTGGCAGCCGCCATCACAAAAGCGAGCTCGAACGCTGTCGAGAAGCAGCTGAAGCATGCCGAGGAGCGGCTGGTTGGTTCTGTCACGAAGGGTATTGAGAAAGCCATGAAGGATGACTTTTTCTACTCAACCCTCCCGCAAGAGAGCATGAAGGAGTTGAAGGACATAGTGAAAAAAGGGTATGAAGAAGCAAAAGCTGGCAGGTTGGAAGTCCTCACCGAAGCGATGGCGAGAGGGTTTCGGGGCTCGGCGGGCCCGTCGACAAGGTCGCGTTAGGAGGAGGGGGTGGCTGGTGTTCGCAGCGGGGTTGAGCCTCGAGTTCATGAGCGCTCGGTTCCTCCTTCTTCGGTGGGAGGACATGTCGGCAGCCCGGTAGCATCCCCACCATCGCGTGCCCGTCATCCCGTCGCCAGGTCCATCAAGGACAACGAGGTCATCGTACTCAACCAGTGGCCCTATCCGAAGACCTCCGAAGCGGCACCGAAGCCTCTGCCTGATGCCTTTGCTCCGCTGCGGGACATGTTGCAGGGCCTCGGGAAAATGGGTGGGAAATAAGTGGTTGCGGGGAAGAAAAGTGGTGCTCCAATCGAGTCCGTCGCCTCAGCCGGGAAAGGAGCCGTGGGAAATCGAGGTGCCCCTGCCCCGTCCGGCGGCGCTGCGGGGAAAGGAGCGGGGGAGACATGGGGTGCTCCCAGCTAGGCCGTCGTCGCTGTTTGGTTGCTATCAAAGACAAAGGCCGACTCTGCTGTGCAGCTCGGTATTGTTGGCTGTCCTGTCGAGCCTGTGGGAAAGAGGGCGTCGTCCTCTACCCCTCCCGTTGCTCCTGTCGCTGCTCCCGTCCTAGGGAACGTCCGCCTTAGTGAACCGGCGTCCCCTCCTCCTGGTCCACGCGACTCCCCTTTTGCGTCGAAGAAAAGGCAGGCGTCGGGGAAATCGTCGAAGCGCGCTGCAGGGGCGACAGAGAGCAGTGACGTGGTGGAGCTGGTCAGCCTCCTTGGCCAAGCTCCTGTCGAGGCGGCGTCTACCGTCGTTGCTGGTTAACAGGAGAAGGCGAAAAAAGCCAGGGTGCTCCGCTATGCCGCACCTCCTGCGCCGGACGACGAGGGCAAGGTGAGGGGCGCCATAGCTGCGTTCAAAGGCCCGGGCATGTGGATTAAGAGTGAAAAGCCCGTTTCGGAGCAAACCGTAGGCGGGAGGAAGCGGTTTCTAGGCACTTTTGAAATGGTGGAGGACCAGAAGTTCTGTTCGGCCATGTGCTGGCGCGTTTACTTCCCTGACGTAAAACTCGACGAATACGAGGGGTTCACGGCGGATGATGTGGAGGAATGGAAGCCGTATCTCGATGTTGCCGCTAGTTTGCCGACCGGAGTGTGGAGCGTGGCGCAAGAACAAGGGCAGTATCGTTTAGACGAGTGAGTTATGCCGAACTCGTGTCATTTTGTCGAACTCGTGTCGTCTTACTGTCAAAGTCGTGTCGTCGTTTTACTGTCGAACTCATTTCGTCGGTGTACCGTCAAATTCGTTTCGTTGTTTTACTGTCAAACACGTTTCGATGTGCAGTTTTTCGTCGCTGCTGGTGACGGCGCGGACATAAGAGAGAGCAGGAACCAACTGGGGAATCGCTCTGTGCGCGGCAATTGGTAATGTTGCGACGCTTGGCCACAAGCACGGGAACCTGGTTTATCCAGTCCCGCAAAAAATGGGAGGGACGCCGCACATGATGGCCATCGCAGCAGCTGTGGCAAGCTTGTGGGCGGCCTTCAGGAAGGTGCCCAAGGAAGCTATTCAGAAAGAAGCCCTAGTTGCCGCAAACGCAGCCCTCTACAACTCGGAGATGGCGAGCCTGGCTAGTACGGCTGCCATGGCCGCGCTCGTGTCGGTCCTTTTGCATGTGGGCACGACGGTCCCGCCCAAGCAGTGGCCCAATCTGCTGTATTCGTCGGTTGTCGAAGGCCTCGGCTCCAATAACGCCATTCTGTTGCAGATGGTGCGCGTCGCAGTACAGGTCCGCCCACAATGGTGCTGCTGTCGATACGCAGCACGCATGCTAGAGGACGCGGGCTATGGGAGCCTCACCATGCCGGAAGAGCAAGGCGAAGCAGGGCGAGGCGGATGCTAGTGGGGCGGGGGCAACTGGGACAAGGGAGTAGTGTAGCCGGACGCTTTGCGTGGGGGTTGTTGCATGATTCGATAGATGTGTTCGTTTGAAACAATATGGTCGATTCGACAGATGTTTGCTTTTCATTGTTTTTGACCCTAAACATGTTCGACAATGAATTTTAGTTGAGCTAAACTGGGTTGTTGCATGATTCGTCAGATGTGTTCGTTTTCATTGTTTTCGACATTACACCTGTTCGACAGAGCTAAATTGGGTGGAATGAAACACCTACACTAGGACCCCCCCGCGTCACGGTTGCCCGTCAAACTTGGCCGCACGCCAGTTGTTCCCGTAAACTCATTCCATTTCTCCTTGCCGAACACCTTCTCCACCCATTCTGCGGTTCGGAGCTTGACGCGAATGAGCTCCAGAGTGATTCTAAGGCGGTGTTTGTCCTTACGGTTTTCCTCTGCAGACTCGACTTTGAGCCTTTTCGTGAGCTGCCTCCCAAAATCCTCCTTGAGAGTGATGCCTTCCAAAAACATGTTGATCAAGTGGTCCTTCACAATTGAGTCAAGCTTTTCTATGACCGTCGACGTAGCCGCGCTGCTATCATCGATCCAGAAATGCTCGACGGCCTGCATGATAGCCTCCATTTTCCGCAATCTCGTCTCGATAGCTTTTGCGGTTGGTGGCTTATCTTTTGGCTGGGCCTCCTCTTCGGGGGGTACGGGGGGTGGAGTCGGTGTGAACTTGCAGAACTTGTCGGCGAAGCCCCTCTTGTATGCCTGTCGAAGACTATGCCCGTTTTTCAGTGGGCTTGGCCCGTCCCAGTACGACCATGCCTTCCGCACGGTCTCGCAATTGCACCACGGCCACACCACCGCGTTGAAGAATGCCTGGTCGAGCTGGCTGCCCCTGCTCTGTCGAGAGGGTGTTGCTTGTTGGGCTTGCTGTGGAGCCGGGGTGGCTTCCTCGGTCGTTGTCTACGGCATGCTCTTGCTCTCCCCCACATTTGCAGCTGCGCTTGTCACCGCGGTATTCTTCAGTGCGTCGAACGCTTTCTGTAGTTGCACGAACACCTCTGTCTTCGCCTCCAACTCTGCCTTCTCGAGGCAGAGTTGGAGCCCTTCTCCCGCTCCAATGACTCGACCTGCTTCTCAAGGTGGTTGATCTGGATTTATTTTTTCCCTCCTTCCTCCTTGTGGAAGTTGATCTCGGCCCGAAGTTACGTGATGAGGTGCTTGGTGTTGAGTTGAAAGGATACGTCCTGCACACAAGAAGACGAGCAGTCAGTGGGCTGATGCAAAGTCGCCGCTTATAGACTTGGAAAGCCCATCTTACCATCGCTCTCGACATCGTGGGGTTGGTCCGCATGTTGATGCCGTACTTGTCGAGCAAATACACGTCGAGCGCCCATTTTTGGAAATCTTTGTCCTTGCACAAACCCGACATCTGGACATAAGGGTGACGCTCGTAGTCCCAAACGCTAACCCCGTCGAAGGGGTGGTCATCACAATGGACGTAGTACATCGCAAGATCCTCTGCGATGGGCATTCGGATGGCTTGCAGGGCCTCCAAGAAACTCTTCGCTGCGTAGTCCAGATGTGTCTTGTCCTGCTCGTTGTTCCACTTCTGGGCCTGAACATAAACGAGTGACGTAAGATTGAGAGATGGACGAGCAAAACTTGCGTTCAACGATGACGCCAAGTGCTCGACAGATCCATACCTCGATGAGCCACTGCTCCGCGTTCGGAAATATGTGCTCCTCGATAGCCTTCAGGAACTTCGGGGCCACTTTGGTTTTCGATCTTCCGATGTAATAGTCGCCCGGTTCCTCCGAGAAACCCGCTTGCATCTGGATGGCCGGGCGTGGGATGCCTATGACGTATGACATGCGCATCTCGTTCATGTCCCATTGACCCAGCTGTGCGATGGTGTCAAGGTCGAAGTTCTTGTCTGCGAGGATCTGTGTTGCAGACCGTCGAAAGATGTGCGTGACCTTCGACAGGATCCACACCGCGCTATTCATCGCCCAGGATACCCATTTGTTATGCGTCGGGCATAGCATCTCTGTCTTCTCTTTGTCAAAGAGGGCGAAGAACAGGTGCTTCTTCGACCAGGCCTCCGGGTCGGAAAATTCCAAGGGGGGCACGATATTCGCGTCGGTGTAATAGAGCGGCACAAGGTCGAAAAGGAAGTGTAGCCAGAGGAAAACTGCTCCAAAGCTGCACTGCTGGAATTCCATGTGTCGAGTCAGGTACAGGTGGCTGAGCTTGTGGTCTTTGACGGTCGTTGAATTGCGATAGGCGACCACGAGAACGAGGATCAACAATTCCCCCGGGCTGTTCGTGACGGGCAGAAGGACGTGAGTGAACATGTTGTAGTAGCGGATCGTACGGATGCTGATCCCCCTGCCCAGCATGTGATGCGCAATCAGAATCATCACCCTGACAGCCAAGGCCTTCCACAGCGATAGACTGGGGTACGCCATCCACGACCTGAAGTACACCTTGGCCCAGTGCGGCAGGATGTCTGAAACGAGAATGCGGAACTACTCCTCCATGTAGACATCGTCGAGTAAGCCCCGGTGTGGGTCGACGCACCTCCTGCATTGAGTGGGCAGATACAACAATTCATAAGTGAGAAAGTGAGTGAGAATTTGTAGCCGACGGGGTAGGGAAGTGTACTTACTCGAACTGATTGTCGTGCAGCTGTCGCAGCTTGACCGCAAGTAGCTGCCTAGCCTCGGTGATGTCGTCCATGGGTTTTGTGAGTGGTTTGTCGAAGAGTATGGCCTCTACTTTGCACCCTAGCACACTAAGGCGCGCCAGCATCATCGGTGGGGTGCATTTTTTTTGCTTCCATCCCGCTACTCTGGTCCGCCCGGTATCCAAGGAAGCCGCCTGTTCGTCCGTTTCCGTTGACATGTAATCGATGTAAGCCCGCAAGCGCCATTTCGACGTCCAAGGCCCATGCAGGTGCTCCTCGTTACGGAGCGCCGCCCTCCATCCCGTCCCTAAACCCTTGCCGATCTTTCTCCCGACCTCGTCCTCGTTGATCACCTGCTCCTTGACAGGCACTCCGTTGCATTTTCCGGCTGCTAGAGTTGCACAGGCCCAAGCCTTGAAATGCATGAAATCAGAGACGTAGTTTGGCCGAGTGGAATCCTCGTCGATTCCCAGCAGCGGAAGCTCACAACGGTGAATCGCACTTTTCAGTGTTCCCGTCGCCAAGTACGGATTTTCTTCGCCCTGTTCGTCACCTAGAATGTGCGCATCATCCTCTTCCGATATATTTGCCGCGGCAGGGCGAGGGGTCCACCTCTTCGACATCGTCCGCCTCGGGCTGTTCTCTCGGCTCATCGTTGACATCATTCGTCTCTGCAGGGACGTGGCTGGCTAAATCCGTTTTGCTGGGTCTTTTCGATGAGCGCATAGGCGCGGCGGGAGTGGCTCGCGAAGCGGATGTACCGGCTGGGGGTGGTGGCCTAAACTCAGCCGGAACACCTGTACCCCTTCTCCTACGTCGCCCATCAGTCGAGCTCGGCACAGTGGCTACTGGTTCCATTAGTGTTATCGAGCGGTGTGGTGCCGATGATGATGACGGCTGGTTTGTCGCTTCCTGTTTTGAGGGAGGGGTTGTTGTCGAAGTCGGTTCTACTACTATAGGTATGGATTGTGCCGTCGAAGGGACTTCGGTAGGTGCACCCCCCACTTCGATATTGACAGCATGGTCCGTCGAGCGTTGGTTCGTCGCAACCGGCTGAACCACTATCGGTATGGCTCATGACGTCGAGGGTGGCGCTGTTGATACCGGTATGGCTCGTGACGTCGAGTGTGGAGCTTGTCAACGGGAGTTGGGTGTGGCCCCGTCCTCGCTTGGGCGGAGCTGACTTCGTGGTCGGGTGTAAGGGGGCATCCAACATGCAGCAGTGGGCGAG